CTGTGTACAATCCATGGAGTTTCAGTTATGGGAAGGCCATCTCTCTCCCAATAACTTCTGTTGTGAAATGATGGAAGTTTTGCACTTACATGTGCTGCAGGGGAATGATGATTGCTCCTGCAGCAAAACGTTTCATATCCGTTCGCAGGATATGAAACCCCGGCATGATCATCACGCCATCTCTTCCTGCCAAGAACACCACAAATCCATGCAAATTTTGTGCAATTACACTACACCCATAAAAGAATGAACTTCAATAACACAATGCACTGCCATTCAAATATTCAACTGAATGAGATCGATATTGTACAGAAACAGTAACAGCAGCACCAACGGGATTTTACAGAAAGCGGTTCTTTGCAGGTTCTCTCCAGGTTCACATCTACAATTTGCATCATCATTTTCGATGTCTTCTCTTTGTATTAAGAAAAAGAGCATCCATCTTGTGTGCTAGGTACTCCCTCTGTAAACTAATATAAGAGTGTGTAGATCACTAAAATAGTAATCTAAATGCTTTTATATTAGTTTACGGAGGGAGTAGTTCCAAATCTAACAAATATTGACTTGCCGAGCGCACCTGAGGTGGGTAGAGGATAAAATTTGGTCCAAACCTACGATGTATAGGCATTTCACTCCGAGAATGTACTTATCTCTGATAATACTGAAGAATCTGCAGCAGGAGCGTACTCGTCCCCGCAGAAGAATGGCTCAGGAGGTATCTCCAGGCCGGCCATCGTTGCCAGCTTCAAGCATGTCTAGCACCTCACTCATCGCCGGTCGATCGTCTGGCTTCATCTGGATGCACCACAGTCCACAGCGCGACGACGCACAGCTTCCTCTCCACCAGATGGAATTTGGATACCAACGGCCTCCGAGTCCGAGATCCCACCCACCTCTTGCCCAGACAGCTGATTGTACACCCATGACGGGTAGTACGTCTGGCTTCTTGACGCTCGTGGATCCACGTTCCTCCACCCCCCAGCCATCTCCAGCAACAACATCCCAAAGCTATAAACATCAGACTTTGGACGATATGGCGCGAAAGCTACGGGAGACCATCTCAGGAGCTATGTAGCCGACTGTTCCCCGCGCAACACTCACCGGCAGAAAGCTGTTGTCCCTGGGGTACAGTTTTGCCAGCCCAAAGTCAGTCAGCGATTTTCGGCGTAAAATCAGAGTCCAATAGGATGTTGTGAGGCTTGATGTCGAAGTGTAATATCTGCATCTCGCACCCTCGGTGCAGGTAGTCGATCCCTCTGGCAATGCCAGAGCAATCTCGTTGAGCTTGTCCCAGGAGAAACTCTTCTCGGCCGAGAAGATGTACTTCTCAAGAGATCCATGGGGCATGTACTCGTAAACAAGAACCCTCCTTATTTCCTCCGAGCAGAAACCCACTAGACGCACTACGTTGACATGGTGAATGCTTCCGATGCTGGACACCTCGCTGATGAATTCTTCTCCGTTGGACATGGAGCTGACCAACATTTTGATGGCGACATGGACGTCACCATGCAGGAAGCACACCTTTGTACACGGACCCATAGCCTCCTTGTCCCAGCTTCTCTCTGAAGTGGCTAGTGATCGCAGTGATGTCTGTGTAAGCGAACCTTGTTGGGCCAAGGGCTAGTTGCATCTGGAGGAACCTCTCAACTGCGTCAGGAGAGCAGTTTTTCCTAGCGCGTCCTACATGGTACCCCATATCAGAGGCGTCCATACAGGCTCCAGTTTTCATGTGGATGTGTGCCTCGATGCGAATTTCAGCAGCTGGAACCAGGCGCTCGAACCTTAATCCTCTGCCCCGAGGCCTACTCAATTTTAAATTTGGATGGGCCTAGTAGGTAACTGTAGACGACATGACTTGTCATGTGTCCATCCCCCATCAGACCCGCTGTACACTTTTGACAGCCAACGACCCGGGCACAGCACATTCAGCTCTTTCTCAGTTGTGGAAACAACTCTTGCTTCTTGGTTCTGCAAATCTTTTGATCCAGATTCGTATGAACATATTGATGTTGACATTGCAAATCGGCGCATTAAGATTTAATTTTTGTTGACCCCGCTATCATGTTCGTGTTTCGGGAACTCTTTTTCCATCAACCTGTACCTTATATTGTTCTATCCCAAGTCCAGAAACTATTTACACGAACATGTGTTCTACCAGTCCATGGCTGAAGCGTAGTATGCCAAAATAAAATACAGTCCGGTGTACACCAAAATTAAATCCTCACATAAAAGCACTATTCAATTCTCGTCCACCCCTGGGTGGTGGTGAGGGATAGTTGTGAGAATGTGTGGGGAGAAACCGATGAAGCCAGGCCACGAGATGAACAGTGCAGAAGAGGCCAAATAGGGGCTGACCCCAACAACTAGCATGCAGAACCTAGCCCTAGCTAGGTCGAATTACTATTCACTTGCAGCAGGGGAACTCGCTAACGATGCTGGCGCGGTTAGGAGAAGGTCACGTGAAGCTTTTCAGACGCACAAATCACGACGTGAATAGAGGGCCATGATAATGGGTACCGTGGAGCTCGAGCTAGGCTGGAACTTTCCGCTGCGTCAATCGATATCTTTGTTAGCCAGTACTTGTAGGAAAGGAAGATCAATACGGACAACGGTGCAAAGACTAGCCTGGATAGTATCGCAAACACTGCATAAATAAGATTACAGACATGAGTTACATGTACGTATAAAATTATGGAGCTGTAATAATAAGGATTAGATGATTCTGTCATACCGATAATGAGCTTCATGATACTTATAGCAGATACTATGACCAACACAGCCCAATATAATTTAGTGTAGTCAGACAAGGAGTTGTTTTTTACACATCCCAAGAAACGCACGTCGATGGCAAAAATCACAGAAATCTTATTCTGGATGCTTGAACTAGACATCTGTTCGTGGAAGTCACTGCAAGGTATGACATGGATTGGTGAGAAGATAAAACAGTTTTTTTTGGTAAGACAATCCCATTTGAGGTGGAAAATGCAACCAGAGAGTTTAGAGACTCACCTCCTTGAATTTTCCAGGCATGTCTTGAGGATCCAAGAATATGTCCATTCTGGAGCTGGGAAAGGAAATCTAAGAGCAAACCCACCCCTCATAAATTTTACAATATCTTCATAATCATAACTTGCATAATAATCTACAAACTAGCTCGTATCCTTGAACACCACAACCAGGTGGATCCCCTCGCAATCGAAAAGGATTGTGGATGTCTTGGAGATGCCCACAGGAGAAAGAGGGGCAAACTGCTTGCCCCAGAGTATCTTCCGCTCCAGTCTTTGTTAGAAAAATTGAAACTGTGGAGGAGATTGCTAATGCTTGGAGTATAACAGAAGGTGGAAATGCGACGGAGTTCGTCATGAGAGCTTTACAGGCATAGAAGCTGGTGCTAGTGTGTTCAAAAAAAAAAGCTGGTGCTAGAGTGCACAGTGGTTTCAAACGGTATCTCAACGCGGTGGGATTATGATATCAAACCTGCTGTGTTATTCACTGACAGAGCCAGAAGGGTCATTGCATTTGGTGAGACAACCTTGACTTGGTCAGTTCCTAACATAACCGACATTTGTTTAGACTGCGAGCGAAATGGGCATCCCTGCGGATTCAGCTCACAACGCAGGCAAGCATTCTGCAAGCGCCAAGGTATTGTTTCTAGTAATTCTTAAGCATCGGAGGATTTGTTCTGAATAAATTGCATGCCTTAAATAATTTTGACAAGAGTACCTAGCTAAATGATCCAAATAAAGAACACTTCTTTTTATCCAACCTTTGCTATATATATGCAAATATGTCTCTGTTTACCAGCATATCTGAGTCCAGTAAATATTTCACTCACATGGTTCTGATACTCCCCCATACAGATAGCATATAACATTAAAAGTAACGCATTTTTATAGTCAAATTCTTACTAGAAAAGTATCACGTTGTTCAGAAACAGCAATATGTTTAGCTCCAAAATTTCTGGTAAACAGCTGGTTGACATATAAGATTGCTTTCAGTTCTTTAAGCCCTTTGAAGGAGTAAAAAATCTCTAAACAAACTAAACACACTATTCACTATATTTAGGAAATAATCATGCTGGAACAGCCATATCAAGAAGCTCAGGGATGAAAAACTTTCATGATTATGCAGACAAGCCAATGACACCTTCTGGAAAGAAGGACTGAATTCCAGCCCAACTAAACTGCATTTTTATGATGCTCATACTTTTGAAGTTATTACTTAAGAAAAAAATTGATGTCCCAAGAAAGTTCAGATATATGCAAATAGTTTCATCAGATATATGCAAATCTCTTCAGTAATTCAGACATACGATAATTGTGTTCTTTTGTAAACCTACATGTGCTGCTCTTAGTTCAAATATATCAGTCAGATTTACGTTCGACATTTATATCGAGTCGGATTTATGGTGCTTATCTTGTTAACTTAAGCTGTTAGTTTTTCTCACTTGTTCAAGAATTGTAGCAATGCCCAATTTAAGTATGTGTTCACCATGCATTACTGATCTGTGTTTATCACAAATTATCATACTGTCATGTGGACACTGCATGAGTTGTGTCTCTTATCAATTCCATCAACAAAGAATTGGCATGAGTTGGTGTCCTTATTTAACCAAAAAAAATCAGTAGCCCTTTTTCTCTTTTATAAAAGAAATAGAAATTGCCTGGGTTCTATTATTTTCCACGCCAAATCTAAATCACTTATTTCCTACATGCAAGTTCACGTGTGAAACTCATTGCAGGTATTATGCATACATCTTTTTGTTTATCACTCTTATTCTTGCATTTTATTATCCAATATAAGAGGAAAGACATGAAAGCAAGATTTTTTCAATCCAAGTAAAACTCACTATTTGCCTGCATTCTTGTTTTCAGCAACATCATCGGTAGCCACATTTGTGGTTCTCTTGCTGACGGCAGCCACAGCTCTGTATCGATCCCTAAAATCAAAGGTTGACGAAGAGGTACGTTTGAAAATCGAAATATTTCTCAAGGCATATGGCACATCAAAACCAAACAAGGTACACATTCTCTGAAGTTAAAAAAGTAACAAAACGATTCAAAGATAGACTGGGTCAGGGTGGATTTGGAAGCGTATACAAAGGTCAGTTTGCAAATGGAGTACCTGTGGCAGTAAAGATGCTGGAGAACTCAAAGAGCGACGGGGAAGAGTTCATGAATGAAGTTGCGACAATTGGTAGAATCCACCATGCTAATGTGGTCCGCCTCTTGGGATTCTGCTCAGATGGAACAAGGCGTGCTCTTATCTATGAGTTCATGCCTAACGGATCCCTTTGATAGAGTTACTTGATCGACTAGGAGTAGACCAGTGGAATATCTTCTCTGTTCGGGTGTTTACCTTAGCCTTCCGGCATCGCTGGTTCGTCGGTGATGGTCTGCGCACGGGCAGCGACGGTCGGTGTAGAGAGCAACTGCGAGGGTGGCTGATGGCGTCGGTGGGGAGCGGCAGGGCGTTGTGGAGCTTCCCATCGTTGACCGGCTTTTCTCGATCGGTGAGGTCAGGGAGGTGGGCGACCATTCTGTTGGCACATTTTCCCTAGTGGCCCCCACCTCCCTCTTATAGCCGGCGCGACAGGGGCCCACAACCCAGTTGGGTTGGGCTCCCCCGATCAGGGAGCGAGTCAACGGTTCAATGGGCCTTTGGGCCCATTGGTGGAGAGATCAATACTAACATTCTCCCCCTTGATCTCATCTTTCAAATTTATAACTTTGTACTTTGAAATAACTCTTTTCAAAATACTCATTTCATCACAAATTAATGCGTATGAGCTGCCCTATCGTCACGATCAATCGCCGATGGACTTGACACCTACAACACACCTCTCTGTTTTGAAATATATACATTAACTTTTGGGCCCTTTATTGTCCGGAAACACATAGACTATACCATAAACCCATGCCGATTGTGTGTTCTCTGAACGCACTGGGCAGTAAGCCAATTCATTAAGCAGATCTGCAAATACTTGTCTATTGCTTTCATGCTCCAAGCATTTCAACATAATTCCGGTCTTTCTCCTTAACAACGTATAACTTTGTGTCAGTGTGTTTGGCACCACACTTGACTCGTTGTCATAGAAGCAAATTGCTTAATGGTTATTGTTGTTAACCATTATCAACTCCAGGTACATGTTTCTTTAACCTTTTTGCCTGTCCCTCAGCCTCATATCATGTTGTACATTATCTTTACATCATATTAATGATAATTGATTCATTCTTTAGAGTTTTTCCACACAAAAACTCCAACTGTGAAAGTCAGCGACAATTGTGGATTTCGCTGTATATTTCACAAGTTCTATCTCTGTATTCACAACCTTTTGAGAGCGCTTGCTCCTTTTAGCATGAGGCCAATATTTTTGACTCCATTCCAGTGATATATATCTGGACTGGACATTGCCAAAACAACCCAATCCGGTTATGTGAACTGTGTCAGGGTAATGTTATACTTTTGCATTCATTAAGCTTCCAACAGCTGAAGCATATGGTACCATATTCATTCGGTCTATTTCGTATTGACTTTTGGAACACTAAAGTTCCCAAAATCATCACCCTTTACTATAAGAACAGGCGTAGGTTTTCTCGCATGCATACTTTAGAAATTTTTCCTTAGCATGCCCATGCGACACTCCTATTCCTTATAACGAGAGACATTCTTTTGAACTTTGAGGACAAGAACTTCTTTTCCTCCTGCAGTCGAATTAACATCACTACTAACAAGCAGAATGTTATCCGCATGTACAAGATATAGGAAATGAAATTCCCATTTTATAACTTTATACAAACACAATTGTCCTCTTATTTTCTTTAACCCAAAACAATTGCTTTAGTCCATAAAAGACTTCTTCAGGCAGTATCCCTTGTGTTCTTTACTTTCATCTGATGTAACTCAGATCATAATATCTTTCATCTGATGTAACTCAGATCATGATGTGCTACCAACACTCATTGTAATCTATTCAGTGTAAAATGCGCAAAAAACTTTCGAGTTTAGTAGTGTTTTACACCTTTACATATTTCCTTTGGAGTCACATTGACCTTGTAGACTCTTTACAGCCTACTATTTTGGCTCCATTGAAAATTACTCATGAGTCCCGAACATCGTCAGAATTCACCAATTTCATTTCATCTCACATAGTCTCTTATCATTTAGATAAGCAGACACTTCTCAAAGCTCGATTGAGAGCTTTAAATGAGGTGAGATCAACCTCCATTTGAATTTCACTAACACAGACTTTATAGTAATCAGAAGTATCTGATTTTCTCATTCCTTGGGACCATCTGTGTCTCAGGTACTGGCACTTCTTTCATATGGGGTTGTTGTTGCTTTGTCATTGCCAAGAGGCAAATTAATTATATACTCTTATATTTCCAAGAGGCAATAGGTTTTACAGGGACCTTTATCATAAGATCCATGTTTAATCATTCCTCTTTTATAGAGCTAGCTAACAACGGGTGTTGTATAGGTCATACAACGTGCTCCCCTAGATACAATCTATTTGAGTCTTAGGTATCTTCATACCATGCTCCCCCAGATTACTCCATCTTCACTAAGAATGGTGTATCTTTAAACTTTATTATTTGGGTTTATTTTGTTAAAACTTTCTTCTTTATGACACTTTAAGCACCGTCTTAGTATTCCTTAGTCTGCTTTCGGAATTGTAAAAGATCCAGGAATACATCCATTTCTTTTCTTTAGGGGTATTATTATGATCTCCGTACTCCCCCAGACGATCACATTCTTCATTATTAATGGATATCTCATATTTCTTTCTCCCCCTCGAAATGTGGCAAGAACTTTTCTGCCACAATTTCGAAAAACCATTCACAACTCTTGTGAATTGAGGAAACTTTGAGTATCTACTTCATTTGTCTGATTACTTCAGATGTAATGAAGTTATCTGTTAACTAGTATGAGAGTACTTTTTCCTTATTCCATTTCAGAAACTCAATAGAGTTATTTATCATTAGTAATTTTGCAAGTCACACTTGCATATCATTCTTATCTTTAGGTTCGTCTGTAACTTCTATTCTCTTCGGAGTTATTGAGTGCTTAATAACCATTACACATAAGATGTACAGTCGATACTAGGAAAGCATAATAGCTACTCCATACTTTTCTCCCAGAGTGGGACACATTAAGATCACATGAGTCATCATGTCTTTCTCCTGTCATATAGGATAAGTCTGAGAAAATTTCTGCCGCCATACGGGTTATATAGGGATTTTCCCAGACTTTTCCTGCCATGCGGATTTTATCATAATCATCTTTTCCCGCCATGCAGGTAATTCCCTAAGGGACATAAATGCCAGAATTGGCTCTTTTGACTGCATATTCAATCATCAAATTTAGGAATAAATCCGAATATTCTTTAATACACATGCTTAATCCGACGTTGGTCAAATTAATCACGCATATCACTTATTGCATCTCATAGAAGATGAGAATTCTTTTCCATGGAGAGTACATGAAGACATTCGTCGAGCAAGACTCTCAATGATATATCTTTTTTCTTTTGAAACCATTCTTTAGAGAGAACATACTCCCTCACGTTATGACCTTTCTTGGTCATCTTTCGGGTCACAAGTACCCACACATTTGCTTTCACGATTGAAGGCATGGAAAACTTTTAGTCTGAGAAAAATTAGCCAATAATCAACAATAATGAGCATAAAAATAATCCCATGTTGATCTGGTTAAAAAATATGCACATTGAACTTTTATAACATTCTTTTATATTCTAAATCACCGTTGGGCAAAATTAGAATAAAACATCATCCTTTTTACATTAATTCCACATCACCGTTGGGCAGAAATGGAAATAACGCATATAACGCATAAATAATGTGATGATTAATTTTCTATTAAGCAACTTTGCTAAGAAAATAATCATCATTATCAACTTTATTGCAGCGGAAAACTAGCAATATACATTTCTTAGTCTTTATCAAATTCTCTGAAAATTGGTCAATTTGATACAAAATTTATCAAAGATTTGAACTTTTAACTATAAGACTAATTGAACTATAATATTTTCATCATCAACGTTGCTCAAAAAATAACAGTACCATAATTAAACTTTAATCAATTCTCTTTGTACTGTCATAGCAGAAGCTATCTGAATCTAATTTCACCCACAAGTGAAAAAAATCTTCTCTCAAAAAATGTTCTTCCAATTAAATTTTCCCGTGGTTACAATTTAATTGAAGGATAAAACTTTTACTTTACAGCGAAACTTTACAATATTCTATGCATAATAATTTCCTTTTTCTTTTTAAAAGAGCACTTTTATTTATTTTGCAGCGGAAAAACATGACTAAAAAATTCATGAACTTTTACTTTTCAGAGGCATTACTTTTACTTTTCTGTTTTCGAAACAAAAATTTTCTTTGAATAATTTCAAGAGAAAATGAACTGTGTGAACTTTGCCCAAAACACTGGACAGAAAAAAAAACAAATAATAATAATACAAAAAAAAACTGCAGCTCGGCCTGGCCTTGGCCCAGCGCGCGAGTCCTGCAGCGGAAGCTAGCCGGGCCACAGCCTGCTAGGGACGCCGCGCCTCGCAAGCCAGCCTGGCCTCGGCCTGGTCCGCCTCCACATTTGGCCCAAAAGGCCCGGGGCGGAGCTAGGTTTTTCCTCCTAGCCATCTGATCTGATCGGACGGACGTCCGCGCTCCTCGCTAGATCAAAACGAGGAAGCGACTCCAGCCCCGAAAACCCTAGCCCCCAATTCATTCTCTCCCGTCGCGCTATCTCTCTCGATGGCGGAAGCACGGGGCTGTGCCCCGGCCGCCGGCGACGGCGCTGAGGGCCAGCGCGCCGCTTCTTTCCTCTTTTCTTCTGTCGCTGAGAGAATGAGGGACGCTCTGAGCCTCCTCTGCTTCCCTCGCTCGATCTGTTACCAGACGGGCGACGACGACGACAGCCCGCCCCGGCCGCCGACGGTGGTTACCACCGCGCCGCACGAGCCGTTTCCCTTCTCCCTTTCCTTTCTTCTTTCGTTTCACCCATCCACCACCACCCCAGTGAGAGAGAGGCGCAGGCAGAGCCCTCCTCTGCTCCCTGAAGGCGACCGCCTAGGGCAGCTTTAGGATGCGGCGGGTTGGGTCCACGCCGGTCGCCGGCGACGGCGTCGAGCCGCGCCGCGCGAACCTGCATTTTTATTTTGGCCCTTTCCCCCTCCTTTCCGCTTCCTCCTGTGACAGAGAGGGCGAGAGAGGCGCGGACGGGCCCTCTGCTCCCCTACGCGCCCGCTCCTCCTCTGCTTCGCTTGGAGGCGACGACTGTGGCGCCGTTGCCATCCCCTTCGCCGGCTGCGCGTTCGCCTCGCAGTGAGCGCGTCACCGTCGAACGGTTTGGCCGCGGTGCCCTTTGCCCCAGTCGGGGTAGAGTTCTTCTTCCCGAAACCTCGGCATGCCGATGCGAGTCGGAATCGAGAGGAACGGCGCGGCCGTTGCGGCGGCGCAACTTTGCTAATGAGTTTTTTTTTCCTGCTTCGATTCGAGATCGAAATCTTATCTGTGTTCGTTATCTTTTCTCTTTCGATTCGTTTCCGAATCTTTCTTTCCCAACTTGATCTACTCACTAGACAGGCTTGATCGACTAGGAGTAGACCAGTGGAATATCTTCTCTGTTCGGGTGTTTACCTTAGCCTTCCGGCATCGCTGGTTCGTCGGTGATGGTCTGCGCACGGGCAGCGACGGTCGGTGTAGAGAGCAACTGCGAGGGTGGCTGATGGCGTCGGTGGGGAGCGGCAGGGCGTTGTGGAGCTTCCCATCGTTGACCGGCTTTTCTCGATCGGTGAGGTCAGGGAGGTGGGCGACCATTCTGTTGGCACATTTTCCCTAGTGGCCCCCACCTCCCTCTTATAGCCGGCGCGACAGGGGCCCACAACCCAGTTGGGTTGGGCTCCCCCGATCAGGGAGCGAGTCAACGGTTCAATGGGCCTTTGGGCCCATTGGTGGAGAGATCAATACTAACACCCTTGAGAAGTATATATTTGCACATGAATCAGATATTTTTCAAGAGCTATTAGCACCTAACAAAATGCTGGAGATAGCATCAGGCATTGCACGAGGAATCGAATACCTGCATCAAGGATGCAATCAGCGGATCCTCCATTTCGACATCAAGCCTCACAACATCTTGCTAGGTTACAGCTTCAATCCAAAGATTTCCGATTTTGGGCTTGCAAAGCTATGTACAAGGGATCATAGCATCGTCACACTGACTGCAGCGAGAGGAACAATGGGTTACATCGCGCCAGAACTATATTATCGGAACTTTGGGAGAATATCCAGCAAGTCCGATGTTTATAGCTTTGGCATGCTGGTGTTGGAAATGGTGAGCGGTAGGAGGAACTCGGGCCCATGGATTGAGAACCAAAACGAGGTTTACATCCCAGAGTGGATACATGAGAAAATAAGCACGGAGCAAGAGCTGGAATCATCAAGGGAAATGGCGCAAGAAGAGAAGGATGCCGTAAGAAAGCTGGCCATTGTGGCACTGTGGTGCATTCAGTGGAACCCAAAAAACCGCCCATCCATGCCGAAAGTGTTGAACATGTTAACAGGAACCTTGCAGAGTTTAACCATGCCCCCAAAGCCATTTGTTTCGTCTCCGGGCCACCCCATGCCGCAAATCAGCTAGATAAAGACGGCGACTCTGAGTGTATTTATTTCGGACACCGAGACTTAATTTGCTGCAGAGTGATGCTGTATTGTATTGTATTGTATTGTATTGTACATGACACTTGATTTTGAGCTAAATAAGCAGTCTAATGGTAAGCCTTATAGCGTCTCGCCATGTGAGATATCACAATTGTCTGCAATCAATGTGGTAGTCTGCGCACCGGGCAGGAAGTCATCGGTCACCTTGCGCCTTGCGGTAGGAGTAACTTGCTACTGTCACAATTAGGATGTAGATTTCACAACAGACTGCCGATTGGTACAAGTCTGAAAGAGCATAAATAGTTGCCGCTTACAGCTGAATGTACGTAGTAGTCTTTGTAGTATTGGGGAATTCTTTTTTTGAGATCTGAATCATTCCCCCGTCTCGTTGCCGGATCTGTACGAGCGAACCCAGGCAAAGATAATCAAGTTCGCATACAGCTGTAAAAATGAGACAAAATGGAAATGGGCACGAGGAGCTTCACCTTAATTTCTGTCACGCCCCGATCTGGATCTGGAGGATCAGAGTAGGCAGGAGGAGAAAGGGGGCAAGGGAAGCGTGAGGAAGGGGGTGAGCGAGAGAGAGAAGCTAGATGAGGATTATGATTTCACAAATAACAGCCTGTTTGTTACAACGCCTCTCCAGAGGTTAAGTACTCCCACACTCGGCCACACACGCGCACACAGCTGTCACCCACGCACCCACTACACTTGGCTGGCCAACTGGCAGTCACGCGGTGGTGCCTGCACTACTGTGGTGACATTCTCCCCTCCTTGAGATGGTGCTCCTTCCTCCCTTGTCTCGTCTTCCCAGATACTTGCGTGCGGATGACTCTGGCGAAGCACCTCATAGTCCTCCCATGTCGTCGAAGGTGGCACCGTGTTCCAAGCTACTTGCAAGGTTCTATCAATAACAACAATGGCGCCTTTTAAATTTTTGAAAGATGGAGTTTGGAACAAGGTGAAGGGTTGGATGGCTAAAATCCTATATGGTTGTGGCAAAGAGGTTCTAATTAAATCTGTTGCACAGGATGTGCCCGTCTATTATGTGTCATGCTTCAAACTCCCCCGAGGCCTATGCGAGCATATGAACTCCTTGATCCGAAAATTTCGGTGAGGGAGTAAAGATGGCGAGAGGAAGGCCAGTTGGGTCTCTTGGAGTGTTATGACAAGGCCAAAGAATTGCAGTTGTATGGGTTTTCATGACATTGAGCTCTTTAGTCTGGCACTCCTTGCTAGGCAAGCATGCATGGAGAATATTAGCGGACCCTAACTCACTAAACGCAAGAATTCTTAGATGAAGCTACTTCCCGTCTTGTAAGTTTTTTGCAGGCCAGCTTGGGGAATTCACCTTCTCAAATTTGGAGGTACGTTCTGGAGGGCCGAGATACGCTAGTGAACGCAAAGCTCCACCACGAGGCATGGCTAGAAAGACGGGCGGATACTTCGAACTCGGAGTCTGAACAGTAGCTTTTGGACAAACATATGGAACGTGGATGTGCCACCAAAGATCAAAGTATTTCTTTGGAGACTTGCACGTCAGCCATTGCCAACAAAGGACCTGAAGCACCACCGGAACATGTCAACTATTACAAGCTGCGGCCTCTGTGCTGCAGATGATTCCTGGCAACATTCACTTATAGATTGCAACATGTCAAGATGTGTGTGGGCTCTCCATGATCCTGACTTGGTGGAAGTGGTGGAAAATACCAGGGAACCTGATGCCAAGAGATGGATCTTCTCTATTCTGGAATCCCTCCCACATGACGATTTTGTCAAGGTGCTAATCACCCTCTGGGCGATTTGGCATGCCCGACCTAAGGCACTGCATGAGCAGGAATTCCAAGGGCCTTTTGCTACGTACTCCCTCCGTTCCTAAATATTTGTCTTTTTAGAGATTTAAATGGACTACTATATACGGATGTATATAGACATATTTTAGAGTGTAGATTCACTCATTTTGCTTCGTATGTAGTCACTTGTTTGGGGAGACAGTCTAGACCGCCGCTGCCCTTGCCGGAGGTCCGTCAGGAAGTTTTCTTTTTCTTTTCTTAGGGGAGTGTGGAGGTAGGAGATGGGAGTAAAGAAGCTCCTTTTTTTTTCTACCAAGAAAGGGAAAGGGTAGGAGCAACTAAATCTACTGGATGTGCAAAATTGTTTTACGGTGAGTTAAGCTTCGCCATAGAATAGATTTTGCAAACCGTAAGCTGAGTGCAAAAACTTAAATATAGTTTTGTTCCCGTTATATAATTCGTCCGAAACACATCGGAGGTCATCAACATAGATAAACTAGAAACATAGATAACACAAGTAGAGGATAGTGACGAGTTGGTACTCCTCCTTCGCCGCCTTGAGATGTTCGGCGGCACCGTCTTCACCGGCCTCCGCCACTCGTACGCAAATGCGCACGAGAGAAAGGGGAAAAGGGACATCAATTAGTTTTTGGTGTTTTTGTTACCAGTTTTTCTTTGTTTCATCATTGGTTCTCGGTTTTATGCGTTGCTTCATGTTTTCTTGTTGTTTTAACACATGTCTAATTTTTTCAATACACATTATACATTTTAAGTATATACGGCAACTTTTTTATACACGTTGAACATTTTTAATACATGATATACATTTTCTTAAAAAAATATTTTCTAACACATGTCAAATAATTTAATTTTTGGAACATTTTTTAATGACCTGAACCATTTTTTCAACTATGGGAACTTTTTTATAGTGTAAATACATTTTCTAAATGTCAGTAACCTTCTCTTGAAATAATTAATTTTTTAAATGTCATGTAAAATTTTTGAATGCTACTAACATTTATTTTATATATTGCACAAACACTTTATTACATATTATAATATTTTATTTAAAGGCCACGTGCATACTTTAAAAACACATGAAAATTGTTTTGAAATGTCATACACATATTCCTGAATGGTACAAAACAATTTCTTGATATTATGAAAAGATTTTTTATGTTGTATATTTTTTAATGTCACGCACATTATTTTTGAACTGTGTGAACAATTTTTGAATGTCAAAATATTATTTTCAAATGCAATAAGCATTATTTATAATTGTGTGAAATTGTTTAACACCACAGAAATATTTTTAATGGGAAATTAACATTTTTAAGATTTAAGTAAATCTTGTTTTCATTTCTGAAATATAAATATAATTAAATAAAGCGACAATTGTTTTGAAAAAAAAAACCATGCTAGGAAACAACGCTCCCTCCCGCGATGGGCCAGCCCGTTAGGGGGCCTAAGGCGAGGGTTGCTTTCATCTCGCGAAATCTTGCAAAGATCACTCCAACCTCCCCAGGTTGCGATAAGTGGCATGCTGCATGTGCGCCACTTGTCGCAACCTGGGAGTTTTCCCTTTTTTTCATAGATCCGTTTATTCAAAACGTTTTATCTCTTAAACCGAGCGTCCAAATCTCGAATCGCTTTCATCATTGCATTCCTCGCGTTGAGATCTTCAAAACTAGATCCCGTGTTGATAGGTTTTGACGAACTTTTTTTCACGAAAAAAATCAGACGTAAAAACCGAACCGGAAGCATGGGTTTTTTCCCTTTCCGAAAGAGGCACGCCTATGCCTCTCACGAAATCACAAACGTGCCTCTCGCGGAAGCAAACCTTGACTCTCGCGGAAGGAAAAAAATAGAAAACATGTTTTTTTTTCCGAGAGACACGGCCGTGACTCTTGCGAAATCAAATCCGTGCCTCCGTGACTCTCGCGAAAGTAAAAACAAAAGAAAACATGTTTTTTCGAGTAAATTTTTTTGACCGAAAAGCTAAGGAAGTCCAGTGGAAAACCAAAACGTTGAAAAATCCGAAAAAACCGTTTAAAAAGCCGAAAACACGTGCGGAAAATAAAATAAAAAAATTAAAATTCGGAGAAATTGCCCAGAACGTGACACGTGGCGAATGGCTGAGAGTGCGCCAAGTGGCGTTGATCGTTGCGAGGCTCCCGAAGAAGCGCTTGTTAACTAGTTGCTCTCTTCACCTTGCTGTAAGCGAGATTCCGATCAGGACAACCCTCGACTAAGCCTGCCCATGTAGCAAGCCGGTCCTATAGTGACCCGGTACTGTAGTGACTCACGAACTGTACTTTTTTTCTCCTTCGGCTTTTCAGAAAACAAGAATAATATTACTCTAGAATTTGAAAATTATTTGAGAACATTTCTTGAAGAAAAGTGAACATTTTTTCAAATCTTTGAAAACACAAACATTTTCTTTAGTATTACTAACATCTTTTGGAAAGCAAGAACATTTTGTCAGAATACTGAACATTTTTTGAAAATCCGAACATTTTTTAAGTGTGCGAACAAGAGTAATAAGTATATATAAATCTACTCTATAAAGTTTGAACGCGCTCAACTTATGAAGTTCATCACAATCTTTATGAGGCGCGTAACACCCACTAGCGCATGTAGGTATACGCCCGCAGACAATGGAGGCCGTGACGGCCACTAGTCCCGTTCACTTGGCAGCAGTAGCATACCTCGCCGGACTGGAAGCGTTGTGAGAGCAGGTACAGTGTACAAATGCTTTTTTCTTTTTTTTTTCTTTTTTTTGCGGGTGAAAGGGATTTCTCATTACTCAAGCTGGTCTCTCTGTGGAGGCCAGCCGTACAACAGGGTCAATCTCCGAGTGGAACCACATAGCGGTTCGGGGGGTTCTTCGCGCGTAAGAGGCAAGTTCATGGCTACATTTATTTTGTGAACGACAACATAGAGTAAATGAGATCTCCCTTCCAGCGGCAGCCGTTATATCTCTTATCTCCTGAATGAGGGTGCGGTGCACCGGGCGATCCTCCACGTTTGTTGTGATCATCGCCACTGCCTCCGCGCAATCAAGCTCGACCGTGATAGGCAGCCCGGTCCTGTTTAGGGCCAGCTCAAGGCCCTCCTTGCAAGCGGCAAGCTCCGCTCCCAAGGCGTTATCGCATGTGCGCAGCTCTCTACATGCAGTATAGATGAT